CCACCTGTGCCCTGGTAGTGCTCAGAGTTAAGCATTGGTCTACTCACTGCAAGTTGGCAGTTCAAACCCACCAGCCTACTCCAATGGAGAAAGATGAGACTGTCTGCTCCCATAAAGATTTACAGCCTCAGAAACCTTACTTGGGGTCCCCGTGAATTGTAATCAACTCAGTGGCAGTGGGTTGGTGTCCCCCATGGCTGGCTCTCCTTCTTGTTAGTGATGCCTGAAACCCAGCAATCGGACCACCTGTGTTCAGTCTGCACTCCTGACAGTGAGCTTCAAAAGCTCTCTGCCACTGAGTTGATTCCAGCTCATAGCAACCCTGTGGGACAAACCAGAATCACCCCTGTAGGTTGCCAGACTGTAACTCTTTACAGGAGTAGAAAGCTTCATTCTTCCTTGCTAGTGACCCCAGGAACGCTTTCAGAGGAAACCAGGCATGTTCTTTGGAGAAGGGAGAGGCTGGTACTCTAGTGAAGCCAAAAGGGTGGGCTTGTGTTTGTTCAATCCGCAAATAGTGAACACACTGTGTGTGCTAACCTGAGTTAAAGAAGCCTTGCTCTCGGGGCAGTCTCCAAGCCTAGAGAGATCTGAGCTTCTAGGTAGACTGCAGACAGGTCTGTGAGTCAGGGTAGAAAGGCTATCCCACATCATGGGCTAACACAACATGCTGCCACTCAGGAAACTGTATCCCCCAGAGCTCTCCCCATTGCCTGGATTTGCTGGCAACAAATGACAGTCCACCGGCATGGTTCGTTTGTGGCAGGTGAGAAAACAGCAGTGATGTTTAAGTCACCAGGCCCCTAGCTGGCTGGTTCAGTAAGTAGTCCACATCTGTAGATAGAGGTGCTGGGAACTAGGGAGAGAGAGTCTGTCCCCCAGTATCCCATAGCCTTGAGGAGAGAAAGACAAGGAAATGAGTGGTTTGGGGTCAGTGTTCAGGGCAGGATGCAGACTGTAGGACCACAGAAATGGTAACGTTTGTCCTTCCAAAGAGAGGGGTAGATTAAGAGACCTTTCAGAGGGTTAGGGCATATAAGATAGATCTTAAAGGATGTGTAAGATTTCCCCAGGTCACGAAGGAAAAAAGCAAATGTCAAGCAGAAAAACTTGGGACTTTTTCTTATGAATGACTTGTTATTCACAGATGTTTTTTAAAAGGCTCTAGTCGTCTAAAATATGACAGCGAGAAAAGGGGTTATTACTATGAATATATATGTACATGTATGTGTGTATATATATGTTTCAAGCATATTACAGCCGAAAAGTAATTCCCACCCAACATCTGTAGATGCCTGGAAGGGCTATTAACAAATCCTTGATTTATACTTTTGTTTATTTATTCATATTACCAGTAAGAAATGAATTTGTCATCTTTTTTAACTGATCAGTAGTATCTTCTACATGAAAGGGTAAGAACTCTGAGATTTGTAAAATACCAAAATGCTTCTGAAATATCAGCACAAGCGTCTATTGGTCTCCAGGTATCCTGAACGGAGCAAGCAGTTACGCTCTCAAATGCTGCCTGAAAGGTTGGTAGTTAGAGTCTACCTGGAGTTGCCGCAGAAGAAAGAGTGTTACAGACATAAAGAGGATTTTAAGGGAGTGCTCTGACAGTTATTTGCAAGCAAACTGGAGATAACCTAGGTAAAATGGACAGATTCCTAGAAAAAGAACACAAATGACCAATACTGACCTAAAAAGAAATTCAGAATATGAAGGAACACAAAAATAAGTAGCCACCCCCCAAAAAAAATTTTTTTTCACTGCCATCATGAGTTTCCAAGATTGTAACTTTGTACGGGAGTAGAAAACCCGGTCTTTCTCCCTTGGTGGTTTGAACTGCTGACCATGCAGTCAGCAACCCAGTGAGTAACAAATAAGGAAAGTTTCTTTTTCCTTTTTAAATAAACGTTTGATAAAGAAAAACCCACAACCAAACAACTTTACTGACAAGTTATGCCAAATATTTACGGAATTGACACCAATCCCCCTCAGCTCATTGGAATATATATGTATATGTATTTGTATATGTATATATATGTATATGTGTATGTATGTATGTGTGTATATGTATATATACTAAAAACACTGCCATTGAGTCAGTGCTGGCTCAGAGCAACCCCCTGTGGGTTTCCGAGACTAGAAAGCCCAATCTTTCTCCCAAGGAGCAAAAACTACTGACCAACGCACAAGCACTACACCACCAGAGCCTTCTCTCTATAGATGAAAGAAAATATCCTAATTCCTTCTGTGAGGCCACTATCACCCTGATACCAAATTGAGACAGAAACTCCACAAGAAAAGGAAATTACAAGGGCTCAAGTGGGAAGAGAATGCTTCGAAAATGATCATGGCGGCATATGTGCAAATGTGCTTGACACACAGGATGAATGTATGGGTTGTGATAAGACATGTAAGAGCCCCTAATAAAAGTGTTTTAAAGAAAAAGAATAGGAAATTACAGAGCAGTATCCCTTATGAAGATTGATATGAAAATACTAACAAACCTAATGTAATGGTATATAAAACAAGTCACCATATTTTACATAAATAACGCATACTTTCTCAGGAAGTATTTTTGTAAACACGATGCTTTTTTTTTTTTTTACGGTAACTTGTGAAAACGCGAATTTGGCATAGGGGTGCTTCCAAGAATATCTGAAAAGCAAACAAATATAAAAGACATTTTATTCATGCAAAAATATAGTATACACTGTAACCAAATATGATTTATCCCAGAAATGCAAGGTTGGTTGAACATTGCAAGACTGATATGAAATTAGTCAGTGGAATACACTATATTTATAAAGCACTGATAAGAATCATATGATCATGTCAGTAGACACAGAAAAAAGCTTTTGACAAAAGT